CAGTAATGAGTGAGGTGGGGCAGGCGGCAGAGAGAAATGGTGCAAAGAGAAGCATTACGTGAGCCACTCCAAAAGTGATGAGTCATAGGCTAGCCTAGACGCTCAATAATAGCCCTAGGCCTAGGCTAGGACAAAAAAGTAAACAAAGAGGAGATTGTATAGAGTGTGATTCCCGATTCAATGAATTGCGATCGCTGATACTCAAAGGCATACCCATGCATTACTTCACCAGTTCTACAGTAGGCCTACCGGTACGATAGCACAAGAAACAAGACCAAGGAAAAGATGGCTTCCAATAAAGACAGAAAAAAAATGCTTCTCCCTCGAAATAAAGGCTGAGATAATCAACGAAACTGACAAAAAAAGGAAGACTAATCTAGAGCGCAAATTTTATTAATATGGAAGGAAGGTAATAAAATGTATTTTTTATACATTTTTCGGTAATTTCCCTTTGCATTCCTATATAGCGGGAACTCGCTTACAGCGGAATTTTTCTTCTGGAACCAAAAGTCCCGCTATAGCCGTATTCTACTGCATTCAGTCACGCCACACACACCAAAAGTCTCGACACAGATATTCCCCCATACCCCCACCACAGTATCACATACTACAATGTAAATCGACCGTTTTCTTTGACTGCAGTTTCCCTGACTTTGTAGGGTATTTGGTCATACGTAGTGGGGCCAGTGACCCCCGTAGAGCGGTTGTGAGCTGCGACTTCATCTGTCTGAGCTGTTGCTTGTCCTGTTCTTGGTCCACGGTGTCACCCAAGTCTTCTAGGCTAAAAAAAAAGGTCAAGGACATAACAACCAGTAAAGTAAACATTTTTCTTCAGTTCAGGCCATGCCCACATTCTTTTAAACACTTGTACTCACATTTCATGGTTGCCAGAGAGTGATGTTTGTTTTAGTATGAGTTCTACGGCGCTCGCAACTGCATAAGGTCATATGAGCGTGCGAAAAAAGGTCGGTTCTGTTCGCAACAGTACACTGCATAGCCTGATTCTGGTCAACATTTCTACCAAAATGCTAAAAATGTTATGTAAATTAATTAATTTAAAACATCTTTTTAAATAACATAAAAAATTTTGAGCAATTCTATTCACAACTTTCCATAAAGGCCAACGGCATTTACAAAATCCAAAATTCTGTTGGGATTAACGACGGAAAACAGATCTTGCAATTTTTTGCATCTAAAATATTTCCTTCGGGTCTTTCCGAAGTCTAGACATTCTGTTAAAATGTGTCTAATGATATAATCTGTGTCGCATCCGACACAGAACGGCTTCTCATCTCCCTGAAGGAGGTATTTACGTGTTAGGGACATGTGTCTGATGCCTAATCGAGTAAAAATGACTTCGTCTCTTCTGGAGAGACACGAAGGATTTCGCTGTCCCAGTTTGAGTTTAATGTTGTGAAGTTTGTTGTTTACTTGCTATTTCGAATGAGTCTCCCACAGACTGGAGGTGTAGTTTTTTACTTTATTTTTATAGTCAGTCTGTCAGAGAGTGTTCGTCATTGATCCCAACGGAAGGGACAAGGATTCTTTCGCCAGGAGGTCCACTTGCTCGTTTCCTCGGATGCCAACATGGCTAGGTAGCCATGCGAACATGATATTTTTCCCGGTTTCAGCCAGAGCGTGTATTTTGTTGTTGTAATCTAACTATTTTTGGGCGTAAGAGGGTAATTTTTAAGTGAAGTGATGCAAGTCTGATAGGATACGGCTGTCTCAGAGAAATTCGCGCGCGCAACCCGCAAGTTGCGCACACAACTTTTGCCATTTTCGTGAATTCGTGAATTTTAGGCAATTTTCTGCAAAAGTTGGAAAAATAATAATTTAATTTCGGTAATAATAACCTAAATTTTCTTCCACAACAAAAAATAACGACACGAAGGGGGACAATTCGTACCTGAAATTAGATCTACCACCTATTATGCACTACGGGGTGCCCAGTGCCCGTTGCGGATGAGATCGGGTCGGGATGATCGCCCGACTCGTTGCCTGAAAACAGCACGTTTATTTTTGAAGCAACGAGACAGGCGCAATCGATTTGTGCCACCATAGCCATTTTGCACCATTAGTCTGTCGAGCAAATCAACCCGTCCCGACCTGACCTCCCCAATAGTCCTGTTTGGACTGAATCATCTTCTACTTCTTCTAGTTCTAGATCGAGCTAAATCTAGACTATATCTAGATATCTACAGAGTAAACTCAATCGTAAACATGATCGTCTGATTACTTAGCTTGCTTGGTTCCGTAGCACCGGGTAGATAGATCTAGATCTAGTATAAAATTTTGTGAAAGACTTTAAATCTTAGGCAAGGAGGGTAGATCTAGATCTAGACATGGATTGGTTCATCCAGAAAACCCCTAAAGGGGTCGCTCAAATATATAATCTTACGCCTGGAAAAAGCCTAAATGGGGGGGTCCTTGATTCCTGTAAAAGAAAAGTGTAAGAAGGAGGGGGGGGAGGGTCCTGAACCAATGTAATATTACACCTTTGTAGGGTGAAAAAATATTCAGTTATGGACTGGGTAAACAGTGATCACTCAGCTCACTTACAATTTGAGTACAAGTTGTGGGTGGGGCTTATATATGCCTTCCCTCACCAGCAGCTGAAAATGTATTATTACCGATTGGTCAACAGTGGGAGGAGTCTACGCAATATGATCTGTTGGAGCGACTTATAAAAATGACATGTGATTGGATTATGACTGCTGGTCCACAACATCTGGGGTCAAGACACAGGGCCTAATTTTTGACAAAACACTGGGCAATGGCCGTTTTAAACAGATATTCGTGATTGCCGGTTGATAAAATATGGTGGCCGCAGCCACGTTGCACAGACGATTATTTTACGCAGTAAAATTAAAGAAAAAATGCAAGGGGGCAAATAATGGAAAGTGTCCGTATTAGACAGGTAGCCGTCATGGAAGGTTCAACCGTGTTTATATAATATATATGTATTATATGTTTTATAACTGTCAAATTTCACATTTTCTTCCTCTTCTTGCAACCCTTATTTCAACTTACAAACTTTGGTTACCTGCTGAATCAGAGGAGATATCTTTCAAAAACAACTACTATGATAGCTAAACCTTGTCTTATCATTTACTTCTTTACAAGATGTGCAACATCACGAACATCATTGTAGGCTACCAATATTTATTTTTTTTTTTTTTTAAATACAATTTTAACTATTGCAAACAGTAAATTACAGAACAAAACAAAGCAAAGGGAAACACATCACACCTCATCCCTGGGCTAAAACTTAAAAATTACAAGCTATTAAAAGGATACAGATGTCTGTCATCAATTATCATATCCATTTCTTCAGCTGCCTTTGTGAAGAAATTATTTCGCATTCTCTTCTTCTTGACTCTGTGGGGTGAAAAAAAAAAAGCATATAAGTAATATCAGAGACAAATGAAATAACAGTTATGATGATATGGATGGAAGCCGACCGTCGCTGAAGTAAATATCAATGAATCCCACCACTTTTCAAAAGCATTACTTACTGAAGTGAACACAAAGAGAAGATAAGGGACCATTCACAAATGGGATCAACTAAAATTTGGCCAAAAATCTATCTGTGTTTCTGCTATGATGCCATCCGGCTGCTGAACATGCCGAATGGTGTTTGTACATCCACCCCAAAATTTTAAACTGTATTTAACACTTTGCAACTTTGCAGTCACACAGCTAGCAGTAAAAAATACTTCATCTGGTCATCTAGCCAGGACAGTGACTGCAACAGACTTCTCAAACCTGTCGCAGGACAGCATCAAGTGACAGGGACAGATAATTTTGACCGTCACATTATTGCGGCACGTGACCGCAAAGTATTAAAATTCTTTGTTGAGTGGTGTCTGACTGTCAATTTCGAATGTATTTTCGGAAGGATTTTCTTTTACTCTCCTTGAGGCATCACGTGCCTCAGCCTGAGCTTTTAAGTAGTTAATTTGTATGCTTCCGCGGAAGCCGAGAATGTTTCTGAGTGTTCTCAGAGGGTCTGCTGGGGTAATAATAGTTGTAAAGCTCTTGAGCAAGGATATGCGCTATATAAATGTAATTATTATTATAATTATTATTTTCAGTGGAGCTGTTGTCGACGGCTATCCGATATCCTGCCTTCTTTTTCTTTATGGCATCATCACACTCCCTAGAGAACCAGACCTTGTTCTTCTAGGGTTTTGGAGATGGTTTTGGTATGCATTTGTGACATAATTTCTAAAAGCGTTTTGTAATTTGTTGTAGTTGAGGTCGAAAGTGAGGTTCAAAATCCTGGAGCAATCAAAAGCAAACCTGTCCCAGTGTCATCATCATTGCCTTTCTCACCCTGCACCAGGGTATAGGCCACGGACAAAAACTTTCCACCTTTCTCTATCCTGGGCTAGACTCTTGACGTTATTCCATGTCATCCCACTTTTCTGTACATCAATTTCCGTGCTTCTTCTCCAGGTTCCACGCAGTCTTCACTTCCCTTTTATCTTTTACCCTGTGGATTCCATTCCAACACTTTCTTCATTATGCAGCTGCCTGACTTCCTGAGAGTGTATCCAATCCAACGCCACTGCCTTCTTCCTACCTTATCTCTGACTGGGATCTGTCTTGTTTTCCCTGTGTGCTTTTTAAAAATTGAAGCGTTCTGGGACCAAGTCGTTTTGGGGGCTATTGGGGTTTTTTTAAATAAGAATTGGGAAATGGTCTGTACGGTCATCCAGCACAGACCACTCAAGATCTGGGACTTGGTCAGGGGTACGAAACGTGAGGTCAGGGGATCAAGTGCCAAAAGTGGATCTTTTTCTCTAAGTGGCGGACCTATCATTTAAGAGGCACATGTTGTTTTGCAACAGGAAGTCTTCAATAATTTTTCCTTTTTGGTCTCCTGGATACAGGCCACAAGTGGTTTGGTTTTAGTAGGGGTTTTAAGCCGCTCGCAACTGCATAAGGTCATATGAGCGCACGAAACACAAGTTGGTAGCATTCACAACAGTTCATATTGCACGGCCAGTTTCGGGTCAAAGATCAGATTTTAAAATGTCAAAAACTTGAGGTAAAATATAAATTAAAAATTTTTTTTATCTGCTTAACCTCTTCACTGCCGCGCCCGTAGAATTTACGGGGCTGAACCGTGTAGCGCTGTGCCTATGGTCCGTAGAATTTACTGGACCGTGACAGAAGTTGTTTTGATACCAATTATAAGGGAAGTTACTGCAAAAATCTTTAAATAATTACTGAGGGGTACCTTCCCTTTACGTTTACCACTACCCCCCCCCCCTCCTATTTGAAAGCATCAGATTCAGATTTAAGCTCAAAGAGGTATTTATGTGTCAGGGACATGTGTCCGATGTGTATTCGAGTAAAAATGACCCCGTCTCTTCTGGAGAGGCCCGAAGGTTTTTGCTGACCCAGTTTGGGCTTAAATGTTGTGTAGTTTATTATTTATTTGTTTCTTCCAATGAGTCAAAGTGTGTATTTTTTTGTTGAAACCTAACTATTTTTGGATGTTAAAGTGTGTAGTTTGTAAGTGAGGTGATGCAAGACAGAGAATGAGATACAATAAGGAAAGATTTGTTAGAGAATTTTCTACGGAGTTCAGTGCCATGTCAATGGCATTGGCCTCCGCAAAGAAAATGGAAGCTTCGGGATGGAGTCTCCCCTGGTGTGTACTGTTTGAGGATAGGGCAGCAGCGCCCACAGCAGAGTCCGATTTAGAGCTATCTGCAGACGGTGACAGTGGGTTTATTGTTATATAGCCCCAAAACCAAAGGAGGGAGGGGGGGGGGGGGGGCTGTGTATGGGGTTGTGGGAAGGGTTTTTGGGTTATGAGAGATCATACACTTCCCTGTTCCAACAACTTAAAATGCATTGTTACCTATTCGCAACCTCAGTGCTTTCTTGTCCTATCTCCATTTATTTTGAACATTGAAAATGTGACTTCTTAAGCTTACTCTTTGTTATGAATAGTTTTCAATGTTATTAAAGCACGCTCTGCTCAAACGCACACTTTCATCATCTGACTGGTTTCTAACGATATAATTTAGACGCATGGTCACTCTCTCTAAACGCACGCTCCGATCCACGAAACACGCTAACAGGTGAAGCTTAACAAAAGGAAATTTTCACTACAACCTGTACAGCTTGCATTAAGACAAGCCTAGAAAACTGGATATTTGGTGAGATTGCCCCTCATGCCGAACAAAGGGAGTGATGGACAGCGTTTTCACACCCAACTTTCCTCAAACACAAAAGTCTAGGACTGGTTGGTGAAATGTTGGAGGGTTGCAGGTTCTGGATTTTTTTTTTAATATGGAGGCGCTAGGACATCTATATTTTGACACCAGTACTAGTAATGAGATAAATGAGTTTTAAAATATGAAATAAGTCTACTGACTTTCCTAATCTTAAGGACCTCAGAGTAAAACCCTCTTTCCTATCTAAATTTCAGTGCGAGATTCGGGCACCGTGCAGCGCAGGTTGACCATGGTTCCGCTGCGAGAGAGGGCTTCTATCAGGCGTGCGTTGCCGCCTACAGAGCAGCCTCCATTTCTGTATAACCTCCTTGATTGAGCCTCTCTTTTTTTTTCAGTACTCTTTTTCGTTTCCAATTTATACTGATGTTTGTGAGTATCTGTTTCATTTTGTGGAAGGCTGCTTTTGCTTTGCAAATGCGGCTTTTAATTTCGGTGTGACATCTCCCATCTGATGTTATAATGGTCCCCAAACATTTAAAATGTACTTGCTTGAGGGTGGTATCATTGATTTTGATATTGCAGGTTGGGGTTGGAGTTTTTCTGCTTATCACCACTTAGACCTGCATGTGAGCCTCAACCAGATTGACTGAAAATTTTGCGCAACCCCCCTCCCCATAAGAGCTTTTGTGGGTGTCATAAAGAAGGATTCCGAGTAACGAGCGACCGCCCCAACAAACACAACAAAGTCTATAAGAGACCTAACCCTACCCCTAGGCCTACCCCCCAAAAAAGAACCTGCAACGGGCCTCGTGTAAAAAGGCCAGCACAAGTCCAAAATGAAAAAATTCAAAAATTATTTTTAAAAACCACACTCCAAAACAAACAAGGAGCATAATATGGCCTAGATCTAAATCTACATGTAGATCTACATTGCTATTATAATAATAGGCTTTGATACAATAACACAATAGAATTGGAATATGAATCCTCCATATAGATAGAGTAATCTAAATAAATCTAGATCTAGATCTTGTAGAACAAGTGAATAGGAATAAGCCTTGAACAAGAAATCCGCATCCGATTCCGAACAGTGGGACTCAGCTGAGTCTAGACTCTAGAATCTAGATATCTAGATGATTCTAAATAAATAAATAATTCACGCACCTGATGAAATGCTTTTTACCAACATTAATATTACAGCACAACCTAAGAGAGGGTTTGACACAATAGAATTGGAATTTGAATCCCTCATTAAGGTCTATAAATGATCTATATAAATCTAGATCTAGATAGATCTTGATTCTATTAGAACAACTGAGTCGGGACTTGAATGAATCCACACGATCTAAACAATTGAATTAGCCAACAAACGAAATTCAAAATGGCCGCTCGAGCACGAAACTGAAAGTAGATAATTTAGGTTGTCGTCCTTTTTCGTATTCGCATTTCTACTCAGGTTCCGACAATTGTGTCGGAAATGCTGATGTCGGCACGAAAACGAAAGTGCCGACAAAGCCGACGAGAGAAAAAGGGGGCGCTGGCAGTCGGCCAGGCCTCGCACTACGCACATTGACTGATACAGGTGGGCCTAGCGATAGCATCGACCGGCTCGCGAGTCGGGTCGCGATTGTCGGATTTCAGACGATTGTCGGCAAACATGCAGGTCTAACCACTGCTTCAGTTTACACCTACATATCATCAAAACCACAAAAGCATGGACTACGTTTGTGATGCAGGCAATTTCTAATCAACCATTGTAGTGTGTACCTTGTGAGGCTAAAAACAAGGTATGAATGTAGCCATAGGGTTGTCATATACAGGGCCTCCCTGGTACTCTAGCTTGCAGAGCCATTTCTTGGAAAAGGACTTAAATACCCCTAACACTTCATCACTGAGTACTCACTAGTAGAGTACAAGAACAGCATTAAAAATTCCTTGTCTGTCCATTCATTCATGTCTGTACGCTCGTATATATAAATTTATTGCTCTATGATTGTCCAATGATTCACCTGCCTGAACTTCTTTTTACATGTATCAGTCCATATGCATCCAAGATACATATATTTACAACAGTTGATCTGAGTGTGGTAAGTATTATCTTGCATCTCACATTTAGAATCTCATAATGACCAACAAGAAATGTTATTTTCCTCTAAAACATGTATTTCAGAATAAAATCCAATGCTCAGCCAATAGTCATTAACATAAGCACACAGTCATACTCAACAGCAGGCCTACCTGTACTCTTTGACATCAATATCCCTTGCCAGTCCAACCCTCATTTTGACAGCAGGCATCAAATCCATTTCAACTGGTATCACTGGGAGGTCTTCACCTAAAAGAAACCAGAATGGCAAAAAAGTCCATTAGAGATAACTTCAAGCTGCTGTCACGGAAAGATTGAGATGCATAAAAGACAACTAAACTGATATGGTGTTAGTGTGAAGCATCAAAACATAAAATCAAGTGTTAAAATTGATTAATCGGCACCAACAACTCGCCATTCACCAGAGCCCGTGTCAATGAAAACAGGAACCACCACGGGTAGGTATGGTTGGCTGGATTGGGAGAAGGTGTTTGAGATATTTAAATGAGATCCATCACCAGTCCTTGATCTGTCCAATTCATACAATATACAAAGGAAACAGCAGTCTTTTTCAACTTGCTTTTGAAAAGGTTTTATATTTCCTCAGACATGGAGAAAAAATTCATTATTTTAGCAAAATCTACAGAATACTACATAATTTGGTACAAAATGCTTCCTGGTAATACACCCATGCACACTACTGAAAAGTCACAAGAGATAAGATAAAATAAACTTTACTGATCCACAAAGGAAATGAAACCTCACTGATTTAACAGAATGTACAGTTGTCTACTGCTAAAATTTCAAGAATGTATCAACTAGACACCACAAACGAAAATTTGGTGGAAAAAAAATAAATAAATAAACAAACCCAGAGCCCAGAAAACTCTTCACAATCTTCAATAAATTTGTCCTACACTTTTCAAAACAGCATCCCCAATTTTTCATCCCTCCCCGATCTATGAAAAGAAAAAAAACCCTGTCAAAATTGTCCCAAAACAGTCATGGACTGTCAAGGAAAAAAATGGTGGGGGGTTTGTAGAGGTGATTGTCTTGTACAGGTGGCCGATAGAGCAGGGTTAGACTGTTATTTCATTCCCATCTGCAAATAAAATTGTCATGTTGGTGCTTACATTTTGTGAACGCCCTCAAGACTAAACCTGTGTTTAAGGATCGCTTGCAAGCCTAGCAGTAAACAAGTACAGCCTCTTGTGAATAGGTACAGTCACTTTCCTGATATATACTTCGACACTTAATTTTCTATGACCAGTTATGTCACTGCTGTGAGGAGTAAATCAACAAATTTTCCCCTTCAGCCACTTCTTCCAATATAAGAGATGTTGTATATTATTTCCCTGATATTCTTTCTCTTTCCTCAGTACATATAATGATCCTGATTTTCCTCAACATATAGAAAGAATAGAACTAGATCAAGGTATTCACTTGCTCATATTTTTGGGGGGTCATCTTTAGCTGAGTTCAACATTAAGATTTCAACCCTGGAACCACGTCCCCTAGATTTCAGCTCTATCCATGTTATTATAATTAGTTTTGAATGACTGGCGTCAATGTTATTGTTATCAAGAAGATTAAGATCGACGTGAGACTAGGAAGAATCAATCTTCACTGCCCACCTATGAAAAAAACATTTGAATGTTTTGTTTAGCGCTTAATTAGCTTCACTTTACCTGATGACTCTAATGCCATACTCACTAGTTTTGTGTTTACATCCTGAAAGCTTTGAAAAACAATGTTTAACACACACTACCACAAAGTAAACTGCTTTCAAATGTATGCTATTTTTAGTACACATAATTCTATTTCCTTTCCTTTATGATTTCCTATGAAACATTGGACTGGATAAGATTTACACTTTCTTTTCTGCAAATGATTGACCTCAACGTCAACCGAATAGACAACCCCCCCACAATAGCACAATTGCAGTGTTTTGCCAGTACACTTCTAAGACTTAGATGAAAAAGACCTTTGCCACAAGAGCCTGACTGATCCCCCCCCCCCCCCTCACTCCTCCAATCAGAATATTAACCCTCTTACTTTACTTTTTCTTCACAAAAACTTTTAGGCCACTAAAATACCTACCATTCCGCACACCCTGCACAATCTTGCGGTAGTCCCGGGCCTCCCCTGGCCCCACAAGCATCACACTCAATCCAAGGTTGGAAGCTCTGGCAGTTCGACCACTGCGGTGCACATAATTCTGCCAATGAAAAGGCCATTAAGCCAAAATTATTTTCTCTTTTGAGACGGTTGTCATTTAGGGCAGGGAAAAAGACAAAAACAGATAGCAAAATAGTTGGACCCATCATCAGCATGCTTCCAAGACTAAAATATAAAAAACAAATCAGCTATGATCTGAGTGGGAGTACAAGGAAAGAGCCGATTGTGACACAAGAAATTTACCTGTTGTCCATTAGTCAGTTGAAGTTAACTAAGTACAGCCCAATAACAGCCTCAATTTTCCAGGAACAGAAAATGATAGGGTTCACTCTACGAAAGGAGAAGGAATAGACCAGACCAGAACATCCACCAACAACAGACGGACATGAAAAGGAACTATCCAATCACCAACATCCATGGAATGTTGTCTTTCACAAAACTGAAAAAGAAAGTTCTGTGAAACAAGCACTTATTGAAACCGGTGGTACTGCCAGTCACAAGACTGGAACACTTTTTTTTGTGTTTTTGTTTGGTTGTTGTTGTTTTTGGAGGGGGGGGCGGGGGGCGGGTGTTAAGCGTTTTACGGCGCTCGCAACTGCATACGGTCGTATAAGCAAGCGGGATACATTAAACATTTTCAGCTGCTAAGAAATTTTGAATTTTGCCCAGGTGGTGGCCGAAGCCTACTCGTATCGATTTTGATTGAACCACCAAGGGATCTTTACCTTTTACGTGCGCAACTTGCACACGGGACCTCCAAATTGTAGTGAAATGGTGATAGTTTTTATGAAATTATGTAAACTCAATTTTGAAAATTTCTTTTTATGACTGATTTTGACCGGGAAGGTCACATATACAAATGGTAAGTGATGTAACCCATGTCCTGAGCCTGCAACCAACTCTAGTTGAAAACCCCCCAACATTTTAATTGCCTTACAGGAGTCTTCAGCCTGTAACAACCTCTGGTTGGGACCTCAGAAGGGAACGGCTTGTTTTCTTCTTTTCCACGAGTCCTGCCTAAGACGGCCACCCGTCTCAGGTAGACACTTTTCTCCTCAACAATGAGTGGCCGTCTTACACAGTATGGGCCAAGGAATATGCCAGAATATCAACTGTCAAAACCATGTCTGAGTTTCAGCATTCACAGATAAAAAAAGCACGCAAGACCAAACCTTTGAGGAAAAAAGTTTAATATAAAAGATGGACCTATAGGTAGAGCAAAAATAAAAACTAATAGAAGATCATGAACTCGTGTCAGAATTACAACTTGGAAAGACTTGAGGAGTGCAGGCTGCAGTGATGCTGAAACTTGTTGGCTTGAAGATTCCGGCTGACACATAACCGTTATATCACCTAAGCAATGACAAGCGTGCATTTTCATACAGTAACAAGGTATGACTTTGATCATGAAGGAACCCACAACTGTGCCATCCTACACGGACCTCAAGTCCAATCATATCTAAACTTTGGTTCCAATTTTTTAAAAATAAATAATCCTGAAGTATCACGTCAAGCACTCCTTGTCTAAGTATCTAACATCACCCCCATTGATTAGCCCACAAGACATTATGACCAGTGTAAATGAACTTAAGTTGACTCCAAAAACAACCTCCAACACACAGTGAGCTCATAGGCTTAAGAGGGCAGTGTATATTTTGCACTATGTATTTGTATGGTGCATTCATACATAATAAGAGACTTTCCATGAAGGTGGCAACTCGGTGCTGATCCTCAAGATACACTCACAGGAGAAAAGCCTTACAAGTGTGAGATCTTGTGCCCTCTGCACTTAAAAAACTTTTCACCTGTGTATGTCCTTTCATCTCTCTGAAGCAGGAGAGAAGTCCTTGAAAAAAAAAGATCAGACAATGCCTCCATGCAAAATGATTACATGATGCTGAAATTACCCATAGCCAAGAACAGCACATGAAATCAATCTGAAATTCTCATAAGAAAAACACCACTAGTCATGGAAAAGGAAGTCACCAAACTGATGGTAAACTCACAAAATGGACACTCAAGAGAGCAGTGCAATATGATGAAAAGCAAGGCGGTAGGCACGATACAGACCAAGAGCAAACAACTGGACAGGAAGGCAAGCACTTTACTAACTGCTTTACATACCCACAGCAAGCAACATAGTAAGAAAGCTGCCAATTCCAAGTAAAGATAGCCATGCCCCATAGCCCTCACATTCATAAGGCTTTTCCTCCTGGTTGTGTTGTTAGGTGCTTACATTACTTGCCACCTCTCTGAAAATACTGGTACACCAACCAAGAGGTGTTCTTAATTGTAGCTGTGGCAATCCGATTTGTTAACACCTTGAGCAACTGTTAAAAATTGTATGTCCTTTCTTCTGTGTGTACAAGTCTTGATTCACTCAAAATATTACAGACTCCTCAAAAGTCAGGCCATAAACTTCACCCTTAGGGATACAGTTTATGTCAATGTCTTTCAGAGGAACAAACATGACACCACACTCTTTTTTTTTTCTTTTTTTTTATAGTAGAGGGTTTTACAGCGCTCGCAACTGCATAAGGTCATAAGAGCGCCAAGGGGTTGGTGTCAACAGAGAAGTCTTTACAGGGAATCAGACTTAGACTGCTCACCTCTCTAGCTTCAACAGCACAAGGTCTGTTTCGACTATCAAGGCACCCCAAAATAGCAGGTCACAAGAGAGTGACAAACATACAAAAGAAGTAGAGGACAATGACAATAGTAAGGATCAGGAAAGAAAAAGCAGCAGTTCCCTGTCGTAGATCAGGCACAGTTATGAGCGTGACATGAGTCAGCCCATTTACAATTCTACTATGCTTGAACGAGAAATGTCCCCCCTTTGGGAATGTCCTAAAGACACTTCAGTCAGTGGCATTTCCCCGGGGGGTACACCACACTCTGCAAATCAGTACCTGGAAAAACAATGTTAAAAAAAAATCCAGGACTGCTGACACTCTCCTCCATACTTAATTCTACAAAAGGGGAGCTGTGGTATCATGTGTATGAGCAGGGAACGCCTGCTGTCATTAAAATATATACACTTAACACAACTAGACAGGGGATATGAGATTGTTATCAGGGAACAACACATGATCAAAGCACCAAATCTAGCTTACCTCCATTGTCCGAGGAACTTGATAATGTATGACATGGTCCACTTTGGGGATATCTAAACCTCTGGCGGCCACATCAGAGGCGATTAAGAAGCCCCTCTTATTTTCTGTAAAGCAAAAATCAATTTCATTAATTTACATCTCATCCACACAAAAATTGCATCAATATTGTTACATCCTAGTCCTTAGTTTAGTTTTAATAAGAGTTTTACGGCGCTCGCAACTCCATAAGGTCATATGAGCGTGCGAAACACAAGCTGGTCTCATTCAAAACAGCTCACTGCACGGCTTGGCTCGAGTCAACGATCAGATTTTAAATAGTTAAAAATTTGAGGTAAAATAACAATCTAAAAACGGTAATCCCCTTTAAAATCAAAATACAGTCGAACCTGTGTAAGACCGTCACCCATTGTCAAGGAGAAAAGTGGCCGTATAAGACAGGTGGCCGTCTTAGGCAGGACTGATCAAGATGAAGAAAACAAACCATTCCTTTCTGAGGTCCCAACCGAAGATAGCCGCATCAGACAAGGAGGACCGAGTGCTATGGTAAAACAAACACGTGAGTCGCCACCACTCAAAGAATGAGCGACGCTTTTATCACAAGTTCAAGTTGACGTCCATTGTTTCTTTGTTACAGACCGGGTAAACAATGACCACTAATCTCACTTACGATTTGAGTATGAGTTCTCGGCCGGACTCATGGCTATGGGTTATGAGGGATCACACGCTTCCCTCATCAGTAGCCAAAAATTTGTTACCTATTGGTCAACAATGGGAGGGACCTACGCAACATGATCGGTTGGAGGGACTACCTAACAATAACGACAGGTGATTGGATTATGACTGCTCACCCACAACACCAGAGGTCAATGCATGATTTATGACAAAACGTAATGGAGTCATTAAGTTGGCCGTCTAAGACAGGTGTTATTGTTTGGTGTGATAGAATTGTGTGTTAAAATATGGTGGCTGCGGCCGTGTTGGACAGGTGCCCATTTTACACAGTTAAATTATATAGTAAAAATGCAAGGGGGGAAATGGAAAGTGGCCGTCAGGGCAGGTTCAACTGTATATGTATTTACAATTTCCCTTAAAGGCCATAAAATCAAGGATTCTGTTGGGACCAACGACGGAAAACAGGTCTTGTAATTTTTTTGTATATAAAATATTTCCTTCAGCTCTCTCCGAAGTCTAGACATTCTGTTAAAATGTGTTTAATGGTAAAATCTGTGTCGCATCCGACACAAAACGGCTTCTCTTCTCCCTGAAGGAGGTATTTATGTGTTAAAGACGTGTGTCCCACGTGTAATGAGAGGGCAGAAGGTTTTCGCGGACCCAGTTTGGGCTTGATGTTGTGTAGTTTAATGTGTTTTAAAATATGTCTCCAACAGACTGGAGGAGTAGTATTTTACTTTATTTTTAAAGTCAGTCTGTGGGGGAGCGTTCGTCGTTGATCCCAACAGAAGGGACAAGGATTCCTTTGCCAGGAGGTCCACTTGCTCGTATCCTCGGATGCCCATATGGCTAGGTAGCCATACAAACACTTTGCTTCACCCCTCCCAGTAAGAGAAAGACTAAATCGAAAGTCAAATAGATATCTGATTGCTTTGCTTTAAATCATTCTCCCCTCCCCACTTGTTGAAAACCTCACAGTACTTTACAATAGTTCTCTTTGCTGGTGATTTAACTATTTTACTTTATCAGCACCCACAGGCTCAGGCAATAAAGTAGAAAGGCAGATGGACAATTTCTTTTTTTTTAAGGAGCACAGTAAAGCAACAAGAGCAAGACGTACCAGCAAATTTGTCAAGGTTCTTCAGTCTTTGCCTTTGGTGCATATCAGCATGGAGAGGCAGTGGAGTACACTGCAGCAGTGAGAACAAAGAGTTGAGTCTGCGTAGACAGTCCTTGCTGTTGACAAACACCAGTGTTCTGCCAGGGTGTTGACACAGAAAGTAATACAGGTAAAAATCCTGAAACAAGATCAGTAGATGGAGACTATTACAAATAATACAGACTGGCATATCGGAATCAAGCATGTTCAAGTGACAAAGAAGTGCTTAGCTGTGGAAATGTCCTTTCCGTATGTACAAGAACAAAAGCAACACTGAAGATGTAGATGAAATGAACCTCATCATATCACCCATTGACTGAGCATGTAAAGGGCAAAATTATGCAATATCATTACCATATTATAACAATATTTACATAAACAGATGGTAAAAAAAAAATTTTCAATCTAAGGAATAAGAAAAAACAAAAATTTCATCACATGCATACTGTATCACTTACAGTCAGTAATTTCTTGCAATAAACATTTCATGTTCACAGAGTAAACTTCAGTGGTCAAAACTCTTGGGGAATAGGCTCATATAAACAAAACCACTGAATAAACTTCCTACACATTTTCAAATAAGCTTTTCTTACATTACCATCTGACCCATTGCCTTTGTTTTAAGTATTTTCTTTTACATACCTTTTCATCTGCCTTACAGTTCACCCGAAGTTCTGTTAGTGTTTGAGCAACCTTGTCCTTTGGAGTCAAATCAATGACCTTGGGCTTCAGGCCAACACAAATTCTCTCAGTCAGTGATTCTAAATAGGAAAGATGCAATGAACATATACAGTGACAACTTGCCATATTTCCATGTAAAAAATCACAATCACTGCTCTAAAACTGAAACATTACATTCTCCACTTAACTTAAGAAAAGAAAGAGGGAAATAACGAAAAGACCTCGTAACCAAATTTGTTAAAAATGACATACGTTCAGTCATAATTATATTCCAGTTGCATATTTTCTCATTACTCAGGGCAAAGATTTCCTAACAACATATTTTGCATGCAGAGGACACGATCCCATAAGCTCATTCAAGACTGCAGATCCTTACTCCTCCAGTAGAGTTGAGTTCTGCCTGCAAAATTTTGTATTCACGAATAAACGAGCGAAAAAAGAATCATTTGCTGTAACGGGCTGTGGGCAGGCAAAGTTGATCGCTACACTGCAAAGATTCATTATTCCCTGCTCAAGCAAGACACTGCTAGTTAGTGACACTGAGCCTGCAACGACTATCTTGGCTGGCTCATTCATGATGTTATAGACACAATGTCAGTGCAGTGAAATACAGTCCCCTGTCGCCTTGCATGTCGAACTTCAGAAACAATATACATTATGACCCTTGCCTTCAATGCCCGTAACCCGTTTGCTCGTTTCTCGATTCTGTAATGAATCGGTAGGCCTAGATCAATGTCTATTGAGTGACAGCTCCGACAATATGAAATAGCTAGCCCATCTTTAGACCAAGCCTGTCGCATAGCAACTTCTTTTCTACGAATTTTGGTCCCACTAGCGCTCGATAGGGCCCGGTTAGTTCCTGGGGTACTTGGGTAGAGAGCTCAAAACCGGTATATAGGTATTGGTATCGCAATTGTAACAGTTATCAGGCCATCATTGGAGAATTCTGAGCGGTAACAAAAGTGAAAGTAGATCCTGGGAACATCACATGTCGGAATGCCAAACCAATACTATTTCGATTATCATTGAAATAACACGAGCGAGCAAAGATCCAACACAACTTGAGGCAAGCTAATTACTATTTTCTACTAAAATCGTTATCGAAATTTCAGAAAATAATGCTCTGAGTTCCTGCTGACAAAAAGTTCAACAGGTACTTCCCGTGACAGAGAGTTTAGTAGTTTTAGTAGAGGTTTTACTGCGCTCGTAACTGCATACGGTCATATGAGCGCCGTGACAGAGAAGAAGACAGAGTAAGTTTTTTTTTAACATCCGGCACAACAGATGGAACAAAAAAAAAACAGGACCCACACGATCAAAAACGGGATGCCTGACAATTGGAGGTGGGGTGGGATCAGCACATCCCGATTTAATCGGGATGAGTGGTAGGTCTGTAGATCCCATTATAAATCTACAACAAAAGAAATACTCACTGAGCTTATCATCTTGGTGGATTTTTTTCTTCTTATTGAAAAGGCGTTTAGGGGCTCCTGGGTCCATGGTCAGAGTAGCAGACATGACAAATGTCTGGCGGCCTTTGACTCGTCTTTGGCTCCTAGGAAACGACATAAACAAAAATAAAAACAATCAAATGAATAGAATCAGTCCAGTGTAAAACACTTTGCTCCCCAGAAGTCCCCAAACATGACAAAAAAATGATTAGACAATTTTTATTATTAACACTTTCCATCCACATGGCTCATATACAGGGGAAAACCCCTTACATTCAAGCCGCGCCACGAATAACCTCGTGGCATGTTTTTGGGTTGGTTCTTTAGACATCATGTTTAACATTGAGTTTCAATTTTTCTATCATTTGTGGCTCTGTAGACTGTCAAGAAACCCCAAAGGTAATACAGTCGAACCTGCCATGACGGCCACCTTTATAAGACGGCCACCTGTCCAAACAGCCATTTTCCATTTCTCCCTTGCGTTTTTTCCATATAATTTCACTGTGTAAAGCGGCCCCCTGTCCAACACAGACGCGGCCACCACATTTACCACACAACAGCCCCTATCACACCAAACAATAACACCTGTCTTGAACGGCCACCTTGCGACTCCATTATATTTTGTCATAAATTACACATTGGCTCCAGGCATTGTGGGCGAGCCGCCATAATCCAATCACCTGTCGCTGTTGTTAGGTAGTCCCTCCAACCGATCATGTTGCTTTGACTTTGGCCCCTCCCACTGTTGACCAATAGGTAACAAATTTTCAGCTGCTGGTGAGGTAAGCAACAGAAGTTATGAAAGTGAGCCAAAACCATAGTCCCCTGAAAATCCATGTCAATAGTTAACAACTGAATCAGGTGAAGGAGTTTAAATATCTTGGCATCACTCTTTCTGAAAATGGGTCCATAAACAGAGAAACAGAAAGGCAAACTAAAAAAGCCAACGCTGTCTCCTACCAGATCGCACCCTTCCTATCTCATCCAAACACCTCCATGGACACAAAGAGAGAGCTTATCACTTCAATATTCATACCAACACTATGCTATCAGTGCCAGACCTGGACATTAAGTGAAATCCATGAAAGCAAAATCACTCAGGCAAAATGAAATGTCTCCGCAAAACATCACAAGACGAGAAAGGCAGACGAATGAAAAAGTAAGGTTATTGGCACTGAGTCCTGCCTGCATTTCATAGAGAGACAGAGAAAAAAATGGTTTAGCCACCTGTTACATATGTCACCCAGCCAGCCAACATCGAAAGCCTATAACACCAAGTACTCAGGCTATAAAGGAAGATGAAGGTCACGCAAAAGGTGGATTGAGAGTGTCAAGAAAACCCTGGGAAATCATAATATCCCAACTGAAAGAGTTGTCCTACAATAGAAAACCACCTCCCCTCGATGCTTAGTTTTAGTAAGAGTTTTACGGCGCTTGCAACTGCATAAGGTCATATGAGCGCCCAAAAAAGTTGATTCCATTTGCAACAGTTCATTGCACAGCCTGATTTTGGTCAACACCTTTACTAAAATGCTAAAAATTTGATGTAATAAATTCTTAATTCAAAATAACTATTTATAACATTAAAAATTTTAAACAATGTTGTTCAAAATTTTCCATAAAGTCCAATGGCTTTCATAAAATCAAGGATTCTGTTGGAATCAATGACGGAAAACAGATCTTGCAATTTTTTGCATCTAAAATATTTCCCTCGGGTCTCTCCAAAGTCTAGACATTCTGTTAAAACGTGTCTAATGGTAAAATCTGTGTCGCATCCGACACCGAACGGTTTCTCATCTCCCTGAAGCAGGTATTTATGTCTCAGGGACGTGTGTCTGATGTGTAATCGGGTAAAAATGACTTCGTCTCTTCTGGAGAGACCCGAAGGTATTCGTGGACCCAGTTTGGGCTTGTTGTTGTGTAGTTTGTTTTCTTGTTTTTTACAATGAGTCTCCCACAGACTGGAAGTGTAGTTTTTTACTTTATTTTTAAAGTCAGTCTGTGGGAGAGTGTTCGTCATTGATCCCAACAGAAGGGACAAGGATTCTTTCGTCAGGAGGTCCACTTGCTCGTTTCCTTAGATGCTCACATGACTAGGTAGCCATGCGAACACGATACTTTTTCCGGTTTCAGCCAAAGCGTGTATTTTTTGTTGTAACCTAACTATTTTTGGGTGTAAGAGTGTGTAATTTGTAAGTGAGGTGATGCAAGACAGAGAGTTAAATTTTGATTGATTGAGTAGGTGTTTTACGGCACTATCGACTCAATTTTGGTCAAATAAGTGCCAACAGGTTTTACTGCAACAAATCTATCATCATGTTATGCTTTAGTAAGAGTTTTACAGCGCTCGCAACAGCATACGGTCAAATCATCATTATTTTAAAAGGACGGACGGACATTTATGAAAATCTTTGTAAATATGGTGAACACTCTTATTTACATTGGCGTTTACAATATTTTTTTCAGTGTATGTATATACACAGACAATGACAACTATTATATTTGAATTTTTTTTTTCCGCATAAGCCCAAGTCATGAGGGTCTTTCAAAATACCATGTTACCATGTGCAGTAAGTCGAAAAAAAATAGCCACAAGGTGCTCTTCCGAATGAAAGCTTCCCAAACGAAAGTTTCAAATCAGATGAGATGGTCGATAGTAGAGCGATTTTTGCGAAAACTGCATTGGAAACTGGATAAAGAGTTTGAGACTTCATGAAACCACATCAGACATTTGTTAATAAGTTTTTCCGTAAGTTTGCAGAAACAGTTTTTAAGTGCTATAGGACGTAGGACAACATTTTTTTTCTAAGGTAATGCATCACATTTCATTTCTCTCTTACAGAAATCCATTCATTATTTTGTTGATGCACCTTAACTTACTTGTTGATGAATTCCAGCAATTTGGTAAGTTCTTCATAATGTCCCTTCTCCACCATCCTGTCAGCTTCATCCACCACAAGACAAAGCACTTGGTCAAGATTCCGCAGATGATCATTCTCCTGTGGCACCACAAAAAAATGCAGGTTTTAACAATCTATCAAACTATCATTGGGAGAGACAGTTGATAAAGTTGCCAAGATTAATACACAGAGCTGTGACAACAATACTTCGAAGTGAATAAACAACACAAAGACAGAAAGTTAAATGTCAAAAACTGGACTTCATTTTAAAAAAAGAGGCTTCTTATTTTTTTTAGTTTTTTAGTTTTAGTAGAGATTTTACGGCGCTCGCAACTGCATAAGGTCATATGAGCACCAGAAGATTAGAGGTGTTACAAGAGGGTAACAAACATAAAAAAGAAGGAGGGGGGGGGGATAAGGACGATAGATGTTTGATAGAAAAGAAGGAGCAAACCACACCATAGCACCCGCCAACCACCTACAGAGGCTTCTTCTGAAAGAGCAGCCTAAGATGAAAACTCTCAAACTATGAAAGGCGCAAAGGTTAGTGTCAAAGAAGATAAAGAGAAACGATACAAAAGATAGAAGAACAGGAGGCAGCTGATGTCAGAAACAGGACTATACAAGACCACCAAAAATCTAGCAGATACTTAAGAATTATTTTCAGACATACGGATAAAGGACAAGAGTGGAATCCATTTAATAGATACAGAAGACATAAATCATCCACCATATATACTGCCAGAAGAGAGACTTAGAAATAAATTGTGACCCCCCAATTGAGAAAGAAATTGCTGTTGCATTCAGAAAGCAAAAGTGTACAGGCAGCATTGAGCATATCCTGATTCAGACCTG